GAGTTTAAACTTGGTTGATATTTTACCACTGGTGCTATGCTCCCAGCCATTACTTGCTGGTTATTTTGGAGATGGGGAGTTGAGTAAACCTTTCTGCCACAAGTGACCTCCACCCATAATCATCCATGCTTCATCCTCCTGAGTAGTTAAGTCAAGTGTGAGCTACCAACACCTAGATGCTTTAATAATATGATAAACTAAATTTGAAATGCTTTTGAGCTGATCAGATTTTACATCTATTGCTGTGGAACACAGGGAAAAATGTCACTCTTTATTTTGCTTTAATTTTTAGAGATAAGGTCTTGCTATGTAGTCCAGGCAAAGCACTGAAATTACAATCTTTCTCCCTCATTCTAGAATGCTGATATCATAGGCATATATCACCATGCCTGTTTTATTGATTTTAACCCAAAATATCTATACATACACATATATATTTATATACAATAATTTTGTCAATATATGAACAAATATATAACATGTATTTGCTCAAAAAAATCAGAGCTATCTTATTATGTTATCTCTTACATAGAGACAGAATACTTTCCTACTCACTTGCATTTTTTAATTAAAGTTCCTTATATTAATGTTCAAGAATTTTTGGTTATAAATCTTAAAAAAAATAGACCATGTCTAGACAAAGCTTAATTTTATTAAATCATACAAATTAAGCTCTACACACAGGCAGAGTTCTGATTCAGTCAAAAATCAAAAACTACACATTCTGCAGTTACTTGGATTATATAACATCTTTTGCAAAAGTATTATATAAATTAAGATACAAAACAGAACTATGGTTACTGTAAATACTGCCCTTTCCAAGAATGTGATAGTAAGAAAATAAGAGCATAGAAAATGACTTTTACATTATTTATTTATTTATTATTTATTTATTTATATTTGAAGACAGAAATATAGTTCATAGTCCAATCTGGCCTTGTACTTGTGATCCTCTTGTTTTAGCCTCCATGAGTTCCAATATAATAGATGCACAGTACCACCAAACTGAAAATGAATCCTTACACTGAAATTAGACAAAGCCAGTGCCAGTGAGTCACACCTTTAACCCTGGCTACTTGGAATGCTGAGGTCTGAGGATTAGGATGCAAAACAAGCCTGAGCAAGAATATTCATGAGACTCCAAACTCCAATTGACTGTCAAAAAGCTAGAAATAGGACTGTGACTCACATAGTAGAGCCTTTAGTATAAGAGCTTATAGATGGGGCTAGAAGTTGGCTCAGTGGTAGAGTGCTTGCTTTGTATGCATAAGGCCCTGGGTTTGATTCCTCAGCACCACATAAGCAGAAAAAAAGTGGGAAGTAGCTCTGTGGCTCAAGTGATAGGGCGCTAGTTTTGAAGAGCTGAGGGACAGCACTCAGACCAGAGTTAGATCCTCAGGATTAGCACTGAAAAAAAGAAAATACTGGAAGACATTAAAATTATGTGATTATCTCATGTTATTTTTGGGAATTATACATTGAAGAGATCAGATACTGTGAACTTTACCTATAGAAAAAAAATGCCCAAAGTTCCGCCAGTTAGACTCAATAATTGTTTTGTTTTGTTTTGTCTTTTCTTCATGAGACATCCATGCTTAGTTCTGTTTCACTCACCTGATTACTATTTGGATTATACATTCCATATTATAAATTGAGGGAAAGGATCTCACATTTGACCAAAATACAAAAGAAAACCAAAAATAAATATTAAATCTATTATTTCTGTTTTGATTTGTTCTCAGGTCTTTAAATGGCTTTCTGACATAAATATTAAAACTTTTTCAATTAATAGCAATCTATATAACAGGCTTTTAAAAATGATTCCTATAGTTTTGTAATTACACATGTTTATTATCTAATCTGTCTCTTTGAATAACAATTTGAATAACTATCTTTATAGATGTAAGGCTTGAGAGAAAGTATGCTATATTATTATTTTCCTATATTGCTATTCTTTATTATGTTCCTATATTGCTATTCTTTATTATATATATTTAGTTTTCTGGGAAGACCTAAAATATATAATAAGAGGTACATATAGCCAAATTATTTCTAGTCTAATTATCATGTTTGAAATGGTGTGTGTGTGTGTGTGTGTGTGTGTGTGTGTGTGTGTGTGTGTGTGTGTGTGTGTATGTGTGTGTGTATGGGCAACCTTTCCTCCAGACTTGATTCTTTCTTTGCTTCTCTTCTGTGTATCCCACTTGCCTTACTTTACTCTTTCTCTACTTTTCTTTCTCTTTAGCTTTTCCCTACTTCCTTTCTTCTATCATTTTCCCTTATTCCCCCCCAATTTATTTCTATGTCTAGCTAGTAACTTACTTTATGTTATCGGTGTCTCTCTCTCTTTTTTTTTTTGGGTCCGGTTGTGGGGCCTGAACTCTGGGCCTGGGCGCTGTCCCTTAGCTCTTCAGTTCAAGGCTAGCGCTCTACCACTTGAGCCACAGCGCCACTTCCGGCTTTTTTCTTTTTGCTTATGTGGTGCTGAGGAATCGAACCCAGGGCCTCAGGCATGCAAGGCAAGTGCTCTACCACTGAGCCACCTTCCCAGCCCTCTCTCTTTTTTTTTAACCTACCTACTTATCTATTTATTTATGTTCTTTCAGAAATGATTCTACTCTCATAAACTCCAACTTGACTCTGGGCAGTTATAGTTTGTTTTGTACTCATAGTTTCTGCTGTTTATATAAAAATGTACATTCGATTTTCTTCAATGTCTGTGAACTGCTGGCACCAAAATTACAATCTAATCACAAGGTGAACAGATTATAATGTACCATAATCAATGCTCAAAATTTGTTCCCCTGGATGTGACATAAAGGAGTCAAGTAAAAAGCTTCAGATTTTCACCTCTGAAGTGCCAACAATCATTTTATGTTGGTAGTTTCAAATTCAAGGTCGATTTACATTTTCTTACCTCTGCGTTAGCCTCTCTCTATCTCTGCCCCTCTTCTTAAATTCATATTGAATTTATTCAGCATTGACTACCCAAACACCCAAAATGGAAGACCAGTCAATATTAGAATACAAAACTATATTGGCTTATTTCAAAAGAGTGCATTGGTTATAAATGAATTTATGAAAATACCTCTCACTTTAAAACGTACAAAAATACTAACAAATGAAGCTGTCTGTAAAGTTGTGTTTTTGAAGGGTAAAACAGTAGGTTAAATTAAGTGATATAATTGTTTGAAATACTCACTAATAGCTATAAAGGCAATGTAAATCATTCTTATTTGGAATCAAGAAAACCAATAGTTGATACTGATTATTTCTAACATCTTTCTGTTTTTATTTAAATTAATCTCAACTCTAAATATAAAAGAATGCTTCTCAGAAGGTAGTATATGTCTAGACTAGGGTCACCAAGATTTTGGATTCATGTCCTTCTAATAGCTTTTCAAGTCATTGATCATGTATGAATGAGCCTACGGTCTAGAATTCAGCTTGAGAATTAGTTCAGCAATTTTGTTCAACAATAAACATTTTATTTACTCTTTAAAACATTACAAAATAAAATAGATATAATCTACTTTTATTTTAGCATTCCACAAGTGTGAATGCTAAATGGTAGGAAATACCACAGTATTTTGATCCTGTCAGGATGCTATTCTGATACTTGATCCCACACTTAGGTCTTCTAGGAAATCATTTCATTGCTCAGTCTTTTTGAGATGAATTGTCTGTGGATGTGTTTGGTGATTTGTTTATAGGCGTCAAATGTAAACTTAAAAATTATATATCACTTGGAAAAGTAGAAACTGTGAATTTAAAGCTACTATTAAAATGGATTATTTTCTATTCAAAATATTTTCAATGCAGGCATTTTTTTTCCTACCATGCATAGGATATCATATATTTGTAGGGATTATCTAGCATCAATTAAAAGATATTCCTGGGGGATGTTAAATGTGCAGGGAATTCTTATCCCCATCACATGGAGGTAAATTGTAAATATCCTCTCCTGAAAGTAAAAATGGATCATTAAACATAATGGAAAGCACCATCTGTAGAGGAAAGGGACAAGTAGAAAAGTGTCATTCAAAATTATAGTTAAAAATATTGAGGTCAGTGGAACTACACCCCAGTTGTTAGAATGAAGGAATTTCTTTTATATCTTCTGGATCAGAATCTTTAAAATAGGATCATTAAAGTGTGTTTTAAATAGGTGCTTCATATGTCAATCAGCAAAAGATCGAAAAATTCTCACCGAAAGAATTATTATTTAACACAGGAAGTCATCATTTGGCATTAATCCTGTAGGTTACTCATTGAGTAAATCCATTTTCACCTACTTCCAACCAACAAAAAAAGAAAACCTCAAAAAGGTGAAGAAAACAGATTACTTGATCCGTAAGCATATCAAGTTGTTTTGTGTTTTTTTTTTTAAATGAATGCTTTTTGACAAGCTTATTCATAAAACACTCTGATAGAAAATTCCATTTGCCACTCGCAGTAGGAAAAGCAGGTTTTGAAAGGAAATCTTTTATTTCATGACTATCACCAAAATAAAAATTACAGGTAAAATAAGGATAAAACACTTCTCTGAAAGCAGCTTAGGACTTGTTATGGAAGTTTGCAATCCACGTTTTGCCCAGTTACTTGATTTGAAAAATTAATCCTGATAATCCTTTTTGAAGTTCACTGTTTCTAGGATGGGTTATACAGAACAAAGACTGATCGCCCCAGGAGATTGGATTAAGTGCTGCTGTATTCTCTGGAGCCTGATTCTCCAATGGCCACTTTTTTTTTTTTTTTTTTTACTTTTCCCCAGGCTACGGGAATTCGTTAATATCTAGAGAATAGCCTTAAATAAAACCATTGTCTCAACTAGCAGGTTTATGCAACCATCCTGAAATGTTTTAATTATTGTTTTCTTTTTCTTTTTAATTAAGAGACCAGAGGTCAAGCAAGCCAACAGAGTGCTGAGCATTGCTGTAGTAGAAATCGAAAGGAAACCCTAATGATTGGATTTGCTGTCTTCTCTTTTGTTTTTACAGAGCCGGAAGAGTGCGTTAATTGCACAGATGAATGCCGAGTGCTTGGTCATTCTGATAGGTGTTGGATGCCCCAGTTCCCTGCAGCCAATCAGGCTGAAAATGCAGATTATCGCACAAATCTCTTTGTACCCACAGTGGAAGCTAATGTTGAGACTGAGACTTACGAAACTGTGAATCCCACTGGGAAAAAGACTTTTTGTACATTTGGAAAAGACAAGCGAGAGCACACTATTCTCATTGCCAATGTCAAACCTTATTTAAAAGCCAAACGTGCCCTGAGCCCTCTCCTCCAGGAGGTCCCCTCCGCTTCCAGCAGTCCAACCAAGGCATGCATTGAGCCTTGCACCGCAACCAAAGGCTCCCTGGATGGTTGTGAAGCAAAACCCGGAGCCCTGGCCGAAGCAAGCAGTCAGTACTTGCCCAATGACAGTCAATACCTGTCCCCTAGTAAGCAACCGAGAGACCCTCCCTTCATGGCTTCCGACCAGATGGCAAGAGTCTTCGCAGATGTGCATTCCAGAACCAGCCGGGATTCTGGAGAGTTGGGTCCTGTCCTGGAGCAACCTGATCACCCCAACAGGGATCTGGGCAGAGAGTCTGTGGATGCAGAGGAAGTTGTGAGAGAAATTGATAAGCTTTTGCAGGACTGCCGAGGGAATGACCCGGTCGCTGTGCGAAAATGAGGAAAGCAAGCAAGCAAGCAAGCATTGGCAATTTCTTGTCTCTTCTGTTGAGCTAAAAATAAATAAATAAATAAAAGTGATTGCTCCTGGTGACAACCCCTTTTATAAGGGATGGACGAAGACCAATGCTGCTTCAGGCTTTTAGTGAACATCTGAGGTGCCCACAAGTACGTTCTTTTCACTGCTGTTTCTTTTTTCAGAAATAACAATGGTTTCATTTTGACAAAACTTATATTTAGGACAGAATGAATGATGCTTAATGAGGAAAGAAAAAGAGAGAGAGAAGAAAATGAAGAGAAAAGAAAGAGGAGGATGAGGAGACATGTAAAACCTTTTGACAATCTGTTAGGAAGGTTTGCACTGGTGTGAACTGAAGTATTTCTCATCACTCTAAGACTGTCCTCTGTGATTTATGCTGACATATCTGTTTACCTATTAATCCCATAAAAAACAAACAAACAACAGCAGGGTCATAATTTGTGCTCTGTGGTGGATTTCTAGCAACCATCACAGGCTTCTACTGAAAGTCCGAAAAAGACCTTGCAGTAGTCCAAGCTACACCAAACATTAATACATAGTTGTGGTAAACATTTCTGTATAAAGTTACCTGCCACACATATAAACACAAAGAGCATTCCGTATCATTAGTCAAAAACAAACAATACAAAAAAGCAAAAACAAAAACAAAAAAAAAAAACAAAAAACAATTCCTTCCCTGGTCATTTGTAAGACACCTCATGTCGTATAAAGTTAAATGTAAAAAGAGATATAGTCCATTTTGTCCAGCACACATGTAGACTAATTCACTTCATTAAAAAGAAGAAAATTTAGGACAAGGTAAAATAAAATAAAGGAGAAAATTAAAAATGCCTAGTGAGCATTTTAGTGTCCAACAAAGATAAACTATGATAGGTTTGTTTTAAATTTGACTTAGAAAAACATCCTGAAAAAATGGTTAGCATTGAGTGGCAAATATTCAGAGAGAATCAACATGATGATTATGCTTTATTCATTTGTGGACACTAAAAAAGCTCAGGAAAGTGAAAATGTCTTAGACATACACAAATCATATGACCATTTAAATGTGCAAATGTAAGAAGATTCAATGTGTTTACATCAAATGACATATTTTTTATTGATTTATTGCAGATTCCGTGCATATGAGCCAAATTGTTGAGTGTATAAGAGCTATATTGTGTATTTTATTAAATTAATATATAGTTGTGTTGCAAAAATATTTGGGCTTATATTGTAAATGGCAAGTGTTGCCTCGGTAGCTGTCGAACTCTATGAGTTTTGTTTTTCCCTGCTTCCTTGTCCCCATGGAGTGTGGGAAGCAGTGCCTCAGAGCAAAGTCTCTCGTTTAATGTATAGTCTACCAAGTACTACAGTAAATAATCTGTTCAGAATGTGTTTGAGTGAGCTGATGGAGCTAACTGAAAGGTCAAAAAATTACATCTGTCAGTCATGTTTCTGTGCAAGTCCTTGTAGAAGCTTTTATTAAAGTCATGCTAAATCACAAGAATTACATTTGTACCAATACCTGAAACTTTATCATGTCATATTTGATAACATACAGTTTCTGCCTATGTAGATATCCTTTCATTAGTTGGTTCTCAAAAGTATCTTCAGTGGTTCAGATATGTGTCTCCATTCTATTTCAAAAAAAAAAAAAAAGAAAAAAAGAAAAAAAGAAAGAAAGAAAAACATGACAAATGCTTTAATGCATGTTTGGTACCAGCACTGGTTATTTGCAGTGTGTAGTGTATTTCAAGACATCTGGGTCTTAACAAAAATCTGTTTTCTGTATTACAGTGTCCCTCCACTTCTTTTTATTGGTGTCCTTTAAGAACAATACACTTTTTCTTCCATTGTTTGGTTGTACTTTTTCATATGACATTTACCAAGTTTCAAACGTACTTCCATTTGAGGCTAAGAAACCTTTAATTTCAGGAATTGGGGAAAATAAAGTCAAATTAACACTTTCAGAAGTTGTAGCAGATGGGAAAATGCCTTGATTGACATTTTCCTTCAGCATTTTTTTTTTTTTGGCATATAACAGCTTCATGGCAAACAGTTTTGAGCCCATATCATAGAAAATGTGGTGCTGAGTTAAATAAAGGCTGTTTGTGCACTGGAGCAGAAAAAAAATGTCTTATTTGCAAACTGGTGGAGAATTCTGTGCCTTCTTTCCTGGCCATCAAGCCAGTGTAGAAACAGTATAAATTTCATAATGTCCTTATACTCAAAACAGAAGCAAAACCAAACATTGAATTAAATTAAGTTTTTATAATTTGAAACTCAAAAAGTTTTACTGAAAATATTTCCATAAAATGACATCAAGATTTTGGACTGTACCTCGTTCGCAAAATTGCTTTGGAGGGAAAGAGTGGATAACTCCTATCAGCCTTATTCTCTTGAGAACTGTGTTTGGTTCCTATTAACAGCCTTTCCAAAGCTCTACTCCTTGTTTTTATTAATCAATGTTTAAATTAGAAAAGAAGGGAACTTGTACATGTGAAAATTAATTGACTATATTTTGGACAATTTATGTATCTGAAATTTGTTCTCTGTTACATGATGTTGTCGGCTTTTTTTTTTTTTTTCAGTTTGCCAGAGACGACAGGTTGCTTTAGATTGATAGTTGAAGTATGATGGCAAATTGATTTCTATTTAGTTTTACCAAGTGTTGCCTCTCTCTTACTAGACACATAATCACTTAGTAAGATCTAAAGCAGGATATAAATGAAATCAATAGAGTATGGTTTATTTTTAAAACATGCTTAGTACAAAGTAACCAGTAGTTTAATTTGTTATATGTGTCTGAAGACTTTGCAACACCAGAAGATTCTAATCAGTTGTGCCAATGTAGGAGGGACTTACCTTCAGGCTCTCTATCACCAGTGATTTCCTAGCATTAGCTGTTTAACACATTATCTGTACTTAGTAATGATTATTTATTTACAAGTTGGTGGTAATTCAGCAATTGGGACTCTAAGCTTTTGTAGTTGAGGGAATCATGCTTTCATTCATTCCCTGGCAACTATCTTTATCACAGACCTCTGGTGCTTGGCTTCCAAGAAAGCCTATGAGATGCCAAAATTCCACTTTTGGGGATCCTTTCCTCTAATGGGTGATGCATAATCATTGAGATCTGAAGAGGTTTCAGCATAATTTAGAATGCTTAAAAAAGTTCTAATGTACATTTTTCAAACACTAACCCTCAAGAAAATCCCAAATACTCAAAATGAAAAGTTTGGTACTAGTTTTTGTTTTTGTTTCTGTTTCCCCTCCTTAGGTCCTTGCATAACTGAAGTTAAGCACAGAAAATAAATTTGTTTATGAGCATCTTAGTAATAAGAAAATGAAAGTTCTAAAACTGTCTTACTGATGAACTACAATTTTTTAAAACATCAATAATAAAATAATCTTTTAATGAGATATTCAGATGAATAAATTTTTTATTACTAAAATAGTAAGAATCAGTGTTAGTTATACTATACCAAAGTAAACATTAAAGAGACATATCATATGTAATTTCAAGGAATATTTTCATGTTGTTTCTAAACCTTACACACTTACCCTTACTGCAGGCAACATTCAAAAAGTGACTCCCTACTCTATAAATTAATTGAAACTCTAGTTGGGAAATTGACTTCCTCCTCTTCCCCCCCCCCCTTGCAAATTATCTGAGATCTTGTAAATCATGACTTCACTTTAAAGGATCTAGACCCTCCTCAATTTAAAAAAAATGGCACCATCAAAAAAAGTCATCTAGGAATAATGCAGTATGTTTTATTAGAACCAGGTAAAAGCTGTTTGTTGTTTAATGGAATAGAAGTTGCTGAGGTCAACAAATACACTGAGGTCTGGCATAATATATGCCCACTCATAATTGTCTAATTACATTCTTTTGACAACAGACAGCACTTATCAGAGCATTAATTCAAATGAGAATTTTGGCTATCAAGATTTGTAGATTCGAAGCATAATTGAATGAGAACTGATTAAAGTCTGACTTCCCTGGTCCCAGTGTTTTACAGGTTAGCTATTCCCATTTACCAATCTCATCACTCCATAACGTTCTTAGTTCCACCAAGTGATTGGTGAACAAGGACCATAACAACAAAAGCAGCATACATTGTATGGATTTATCTCAACGCTCTTGTTTAATGGCTGTGTTTAATGTGACCTATCTGGAAATTGAGGACTCCGAATAAAAAGTTATTACTAATAGTGGTGTTGCCTTCCCTTGAGTTCATTAACATAGAATTTATGAATAGCACAACATATACCAGAAGAACAGTGGTCATAATTATGTTGGAAAAGCACATGAAGTATAACAACGCTTTTGCTTATTATTTGTTTGTCAATAAAGTGAAATTAAAATAACTTAATGAAATGTTACTAGTCACTCAACAGGAATGGGACAACAATTGTTTCAATATTTTTGATAAGTTGATTAGTAATTGATATGGATGCATAGCCTAACAGACTTATTTATTTTTTATGTTAATTTTTGTATTTTTACAGCACTTAGGTTTGGATTCCCAGTCTTGCACTTGCTGGCCAATGCTCTACAATTTGAAGGAGCCCCTCTTATGCTTTTAAATATTTACAGGTGTTGAAACAGTAGTTAGGTACAACATATCAAAGGATTTGATTAAAAAACCCTATCATCTCAAATGATCATGGAAAGCACATGTTTGTAAATCATATTTTAAAATGCTTGTTGATCCTATTATTTTTTAAAAGTAATTTCAAGTCAATTTATTATTATTTCTGTGTTTATGTGTTACTGAGGAATTGAACCCTGGGCCTCATGAATGCTAGGCAAGCACTCAACAATTAAGCCACCTTCCCAGTCCCTATCCTGTTTTTATTTTTGTTTTGTATTTTGGTGTGTGTGTGTGTGTGTGTGTGTGTGTGTGTGTGTGTGTGTGTGTGTGTGTGTGTGTGTCAGGGGGCTTGAATTCTGGGCCTGGGCACTATCCCTCAGTTCTTCAGCCCAACGCAAGTGCTCTACCACTTGCGCCACAGCACCACTTCCAGTTTTCTGGTGGTTTATTGGAGATGAGAGTCTCATGGACTTTCCTGCCAGGCCTGGCTTTGAACCACAATCCTTAGATCTCAGTCTCTTGAGTAGCTAGGATTATAGGCATGAGCCTCCTGTTCCCAGCCCCTATCCTGTAATTTTAATAGATAAATTTGCACCATTTCAACAAACATCTATGAGTACCTACTGTTTATTGGGCTTGGGTTAGTTTGCTCTAGGGGTAAATACTTAATATACAGTAGTGTGTGGTTACAATCAAGTGAAAAATGTTATACTATGCATTACTGTTTATAAACATGGTTTTATTGTTTACATTTTTTCCTCAGTTAATACAGAATCCATATTTCTGTTATTTCACTTCCAGGAAATGACATCTTCTAGATCTCAAATTAATCTGACACTTTCATTTCATTTTTTACTAATATATATAATATGATATTATATATAATTTGTATAAAATATAGAATATCCAATATATACTATATGTTTTATATACTATATGCCATATACTACATAGTGTATAAATTACTATATTATAGAATAGTAATATATATAGTATGTACTACCATATTTTGTTATATATTATATACTATATATTTTATATATATGTAATATATATTATGCATTATATTGTATAATATACAATGCATATTATATTACATATAATATATAAAATTAAATATAATACATACATTATATTATATATATATCCAATAAGACTCTATAAGACTGTATTGTCTTATTGGAAAGATTTAATGGCATAGCTAATAATTTTTTTTTTGTTGTTGTTGTTCATTTGCTGGACTTTTTGTTTATCTTGAGTATACCCTCTATGGATGTTAAAGAGAATTTATGATATTGAGAAAGACAAAATCAGTTACATATTGTCCCAAAATACTTGCATGTACATGAACATCTAAATTGACCTTTCCTTATATTTGACACTATTATATAAGGGAAATGATTGCAGTAGTAAGGAAAGCATAAAGGATATACTTATCATGCCACTCAGAGTACACAGACTTATAATTTCTATCATCTGAATCAGATGACTAGGGATGAGTGAGTACATTTTCATTTGGGTGATAAGTCCTACCTGATGAGAGACAATTAGGAAGTAATCTTGAATGTAATGTATAACACGGTCCATGTAAATACAATGTGCTGAAGTCTTAAAAATAGTGTAGTTTCAATGTCTATAACATTGAATGATTTGGTAATTAGTTATAAAATGTGAAGAAAATAACAAAGCCCACTAAACTATCAATATGGCACACAGAAATAGAGTATCAGCTCTTGGATTACCTTTAAATTATTCATTATCGTCTTTAAGAGATGGTAAATAAAATTGTGTATCACACAAGTTAACTTATCACTCATGAGCTCAAAATAGATCATCTATTTTTTGTATTGCAAAATTAACTTGTGACTTTTAGATGACCAATTTCTTCTTTGTTCCACCTACTTTTATAAACCCATTACATTATTTATGTCATTCTAGTTACATAAATTTTGATTATAACATATATAAAGGTCTATCTTTCTCACATTATATAACCATGACAATTTTTTCCATTGTATTTTTTAATGTTTTAAAAAAATACTCTAAGTTTTGAACTCTTTTTGTTCATTTTATAGAGACTGCCACTACATTTTATTTTTAAAATTGATGTTCAGGACAGTTTATGTGAAAAGTATAGTTTTGTTTTGTTTTGTTTTTCCATAAGGGTTTATTTAAAGTGTTATTCATGTTATCATGAATAATTATACAACTTAAATTGATACTGCTTTATTTTGTCTGTAGGGAACTTTCCAACTCACAAATCACTTTCACAAATGTATAAGGCATGACAAGGATTAAACATTCCAATGTTCAATAAGACAACTGGGTTTATTCAAGGCAAATAGCAAGGACACCTGATACCCAGACTTAAACTAAATACTGAATGCTGCTTCATAGTGTAGATTTTCGGAATTCTGCCATCCTGCAATATTCGGTTTCCTTCTCTAGCATCTTCCATTTGTCATCTGAAAACCATTTTTACATTTATGCAACTAAGATAATTTTTCAGGTTGACAGCCACATAGTATCTTCCCGATCATCCCTATGTTGATGACTCAGTATTTCATAGTAAATAATGAGAAAACGTGGAAGAGAAAGCTTTCAGTCTCTGAGAAAATGAAAACACATAAGAGTTGTGTCTGTCTTAAGATTATCTGTAGTCTCCATTGCCTCCTTTTAAAGTGTTTCATAAGTTTGTGTTATTTGTTACCACTAAAGAAATGTTATGGAAAATCAAGTTCATAAAGCCATAGTGATATAGCTAAATGCTGAATAATATATTTTTAAATTTTTGACTTTCCTCATCTACACACATCGAATAAGTCCTGTATTGGCTTCTTTGGGGATCAGATGAAAAGGAAATATTACCGCTGCTATCAAAGTCATTTTCAGAGTGTTTAATCAAATGTGAAGTGCTCTGGTTCTGCAGCCTGAATTTCACTTACTGAAAGTTTATTTAGTATCTCTTCCACAAATGACAGAAACCCAACCTTATTCTCAATAAGAAGCTCAATAAAATCCATATGTCATCAATACTAATTATATTTATAAACCTAAGTTAAAGTACATGAGAGGTGATATTCATTAATTCATTCTATTGATTGTCTAAATTCCCTAGTACCACATCCCTACATCTTAAATTATGTCTATTAATATTCTCCCTTTTACCATAATTTAAAATCTGCTATAGATCTAGTCATTTCCCTTAAGATAACACCTTGGACTTTGGTATTTTAAAAACCTGATTTCTATCTTTAGTTATTTTCTTATATTATAAGTGAAACAAACATCCTATAATATTTATTTACTGTCTTTCCTGTAACTATTCTCTAATTTGGATGGTCCATTTCATACCTTTCAATATCAGCTAAGTATTGTGATACCTTTCTCATGTTATATATTATAGAGTTAGTGAGGACATATTATTATATTAAATAGAAAAAATATAAATAATTTTAAACCCGCATAAAAACTAATGACAGATTTTAGATACAACCTACATGGAGTGTTACAATTGACAAAATGTATAAAAATTTGTAACAGGTGGTATATGAAATTAGATTACATTAGGATGATAGATTTCAGAAGAAAAAACTAATATAGGAGTACTTAGCTACTTTATTAAAAGATTGATTACAAAAATGAGTCATCTTACTATATATTAAATCCTTATTTTAAGATCTCATCATGCTAAGTGTTCAGCTTTGATTGAAGATAAGAAATGATCCTATAAGACTATTATGATTTCTCAACTTGGGCTTCCTTAAACCTTGCCAACATTAAAATCATATGCACTTCATCATTTCTTTTACCACTATGCATCTTCATAATACAGAGGAGAAAAGAAAATAAATGGATGGGTCAAATGTGCCTTTTATAGTGCCTGAGACTATGGTATACTAACTCATGGATCATGCATTGTATATTTTGATATTTTGAAGATAGATATTAACTAAATATAGCTGCTGCTGCTTATATATTATTTACAATACACTGGGAAATACAGCACATAGTTGGTACTGTTAGAGAAGTACAATTCACAGTAAATGTCAGAGAGAGGGAGAGAAAAAGAGAGAGAGAGAGAGAGAGAGAGAGAGAGAGAGAGAGAGAGAGAGAGAGAGAGAGAGAGAGAGAGAGAGAGAGAGAGACCTTGTGTATGTGAGAGAGAGCTCCACACTAAGGAAATTAGAGGTGTTGGAGGGAATCAATAAAAGCCTCTTGAAGACAGCAGCATTCAAACTGAATGTTAAGGTAGGACAGGATTTTGGCAGCAGAGCTGTACAGGAAATGTGTTCTGGAGAAGAGGAAGGCATTGTGTACAAAGACATTTTAAATAGAGGCGGGATATTTTCTGACTAAAAAGTTTACAGGGTTGGAAAAGTGGGTTAAATCAAGTAGAGGTTGTTCCTAATGTGTAGTTTAGGAGATGCCATGCAGATGTCTGTCCTCAAAAAAAAGATGTAAGGATACCTGAATTAGCCTCAACAACTTGGAGAGCTCTACAGAAGGCTTGCCAGGCTGATGTGAACTCAGGAAAATAACACTAGGACAGCTTGCTATTGCCTCGTAATCCACTCTTTAGAAGATGTTGCCTAATAGCACCTTGTTCTTGGGTCA